TAAATTATGTATACATTTTATTGAGCAAAGAGAATGAGACAGAGCAATAAAATAACAATTATTATAAAAGATAAAGCGTCTCATTACCTTTTGATTTAAATCTCATCAACATAATTTATTTTATTCTGAATGCCATTTGAGGTATTTATTCTAGTCTTTTTTTCTATATAACTTTTGGATATCTGAAACTGTGCTGTATGTAAGTTTGTGAATTCTTTTTATTTAATATAAATTTTTCTGGCTTGGAATTTGTTTTACTGAATGGTTGTACCTATCATACTTAATAGTTTCATTTTATTTTACTTTATTCTTTTAGAGACAGGGTCTCATTCTGTCACCCAGACGGGAATGCAGTGGTGTGATCTTAGCTCACTGCAACCTCCACCTCTCAGGTTCGAGCAATGCTCGTTCCTCAGCCTCCTGAGTAGCTGAGATTACAGATGCGCACCCCCATGCCTGGCTAATTTTTGTAGTTTTGGTAGAGACAGTGTTTTGCCACATTGGCCAGGTTGGTCTTGAACTCCTGTTCTCAAGACATCTACCTGCTGGCCGGGTGCAGTGGCTTACGCCTGTAATCCCTGTACTTTGGGAGGCCGAGGAAGATGGATCCACGGGGTCAGAAGTTTGAGACCAACCTGACCAATGTGGTGGAAACTCCGTCTGTACTAAAAATAGAAAAATTAGCTAGGTGTGGTAGGATGTACCTGTAATCCCATGTACTCAGGAGGCTGAGGTAGGAGAGTCGCTTGAACCCGGGAGGTAGATGTTGTAGTCTCGCCACTACACTCCAGGCTGGTCGACACAACAGGACTCCATCTTTAAAAAAAAAAAAAAAAAAAAAAAAAAATTCACCTGCCTTGGCCACCCAAAGTGGCATGAGCCACTGCACCTGGCCAGTAGTTCTATTTCAAAATCTGGTGATATACAAGTTAAGACATTTGAGTTTCAGGAACTTTTCAGATTCTTTGATCCCACTGGAGTTGTTGTTATTTTTTTTTTGAAAATTGCTTGAAATAGGTGTTTTCTTGGATTTTGAACATCATTAAACAAAAAGATTTTGGTTGTAAATTTCACACTGCTTATGTTTTTATCAAATTTAGTATAATGAGGCCAGATGTGGTGGCTCACGCCTGTAATCCCAGCACTTCGGGAGGCCAAGGTGGGTGGATCACTTGAGGTCAGGAATTTCAGACCTGTCGGCCAACATGGTGAAACCTTTTCTGTACTAAAAATACAAAAATTAGCTGGGAGTGGTGGCGGGCACCTGTAATCTCAGCTTCTTGAACCCAGGAGGCAGAGGTTGCAGTGAGTCAAGATCGTGCTATTGCACTCCAGCCTGGGTGACAAAGTGAGACTCTGTCTAAAAAAAAAAAAAAAGATACATGGTAATGGGAAGGGTATGAGCTAGAAGTCTTAGCATGGAACTGAGTCAGAATCATGAGGTTAGAAGTGACTTCTGGTCTTTTCTAGCTACAAAGTCATTTGATCACTGCTTTTTATCCTTATTTATTAAATAAATACCACCAGTTCGATAATGGCAGCTAACATTTGTCAAGTTTATTCTGTATGTCACACTAAGTACTTTTTATATGAAGTATTAGCTAATGATTATGACCCATTAGTCGCCATGTTATAAAAAATAATACAGCATTTTGTTTGGTGCGAGCTGTTTTCTGCTTGATTTGTGATTGGTTGCTAATGTATTAGGATATGCTTATTTGTAATCTTTCTCATATTCAGGATGAATCGATTTTTTGAGATGTCATAGTAAAGTCATTCTTGTAAAAAGCAGTGTTTTTGGTCTTTCTGTATTGTAGAATTCTAGTATGTTAGCAGTACTTGAAGTGGATGATCACTTCTTAAAAAAATAAGACAATTACTTGGTATACTCTCAAAGGAATCATGATTTCTAGAACTGAACACTGTCCTGAAACCTGGAGAGAGCCAGGCTTTGTGGATATAGAGTGGATTTAAACTGTGGGTCCCAGCTATGAGGGGGTTGGGAGTAATGGAAACATACTTAATCTTGGCTGCATCTTTAATGGCTGTGTTTTTGTTTTGTTGATTCATTAGCCTTAATTCCTAAATATAAATACATGAATGTTGAGAGGTATGAGTTTTGGTTATGTCTACATTTTGGTAGAAGGTAGGGATAGGAGGGGATACATTTTACTAGGGAAAAATAAGAACAAAGGGATTTTGGTTTTTCTCTTTTCTTGATTCCCTAGAGCTCTTTGTTACCTGTGTACTAATCAGTAGCTACCAGTAATAACAAAGTGTTAAGTGGAAAAGTTGTTTAACTTATTAAACATTGTGGATTTAACAATGTTTAATAAGTTAAACATACCAGCAGATAAGTAAAAATACCAGCAGAATTAGCACAGAGAACAAATATCTTTTCATGATTTCAAATGGTAAGGTGAGAGAATTGCACATTATTTCCTTCCAGTGGATTCCTCATCTGTCTTTTTCTCAAAGTTATCAAACTTTCAGTCGACCAGAAGTCATTGCTTTGACTTAGAGACCCTACATGTTCCTTCCTCAAGATAATTACCTTTAATGACATGGAATTCACAGCAATAGTCATCCTCTTCCTGCAATGGATTGCATTTAGCACTATTAAATCTATAGTGAGGCCAGTTTGAAGGAATCATGGGAATGAATAGAGAGGCTTTTCGACTTGCCATGGGCTATATCCCATTATAAATTGGAAATATCTTAAGTCAAAATGGGTTTAATACCCCTAACTTAGGGATCATCATAGCTTAGCCTAGCTACCTTAAATGTGCTCAGAACTCTTAGATTAGCGTACAGTTGGGCAAGATCATCTAACAGAAAGCCTATTGTTGACAAAGTCTGGCGTACTTATATTCTCAGCCTTCTAAGTTTCAGAAGGTTTAATATTGTTGAAGGCTGGCATTACAGCAGTTAGTTTGTTCATGTTGCTATGAAGATACATGGCAAGCCAGGCGTGGTGCCTCACGCCCGTAATCCCAGCGCTTTGGGAGGCTGGGGCAGGTGGATAACGAGGACGAGAGACCATCCTGGCCAACATGGTGAAACCCTGTCTCTACTAAAAATACAAAAATTAGCTGGGCATGGTGGCACATGCCTGTAGTCCCTTCTACTCGGGAGGCTGAGGCAGGAGAATCACTTGAATCTGGGAGATGGAGGTTACAGTGAACTGAGATCGGGCCACTGCACTCCAGCTTGGCAACAGAGCAAGACCCTGTCTCAAAAAAAAAAAAAAAAAAAAAAAAGATACTTGGTAATAGGGAAGGGTATAAGCCAGAAGTCTAAGCATGGAACTGAGTCAGAATCATGAGCTTGGAAGTAAGTGGCTTCTGGTTTTTTCTGGCTACATACAGGGTCATTTGATTACTACTATTTATTCATTAAATATACTATCAATTTAATAATGACAGCTAACATCAAGTTACAGTAAAATATTGTATATCTCATGTAATTTATTGAATTCTGTAGTGAAAGTTGAAAGTCAAAAAGAAAATGGTTGTATGAGTACCATAATAAAGTGGAAAAATTGTAAGTGAAGCCATCATTAAGTCTGAATTATTTGTATTGGTTTTAGTTCATTGTCAAAGGAGTACATACCTTCATGGAAGAGAACTTTGAAAATCATATGGAAGGCCAGGGGCGGTGGCTTACACTTGTAATCCCGGCACTTTGGGAGGCCGAGGCAGGCAGATCTTTTGAGGTCAGCAGTTCAAGTCCAGCCTGACCAACATGTGATACCCAGTCTTTACTAAAAATATAGAAATTAGCCAGGCTTGGTGGTGCATGGCTGTAGTCTCAGCTACTTGGGAGGCTGAGGCAGGAAAATCACTTGAATCTGGGAGGTGGAAGTTGCAGTGAACTGAGATGGCACCACTGCATTCCAGCCTGGGCAACAGAGTGAGACTCTGTCAAAAAAAAAAAAATTCATATGGAAGAAATTAATGAGACATAATTCTGTTACTCATAAATCATTGGTACATTTTTTCTGTCTTTTTTTCTATGCATTTGAAAATCAGCTTTTAGTTAAATTGAGTGGTTGGGAGAGGGATAGCCTTCAAAGATAATCTCAGATCTAGGTTAAAATTATAGGCAAATCATCATCATTTGGAGTGGCTTGTAGTACGGGACTTGGATCTCTGCTGGCCTAGGTAGTTAGTGGTTGATTAGTACTAATTGATATCCCTTAAAGGGGTTATGGTCATAGTTTTAAGGCAGGATCCTGCTGGCAAAAGAGTAGATCAGGTGTTTGGACAGCTGGACTGCCTGTCTTAAGCTTCAATCAAAAGAACCCCTGGGTTCGTCAGGGAAGGCAGTTATTTAACTAGCTGTGTCCAAATTATAGCGCCCATAAAGTGAAAAACAGTCTGCTAATCCCTGCATACTATGATCAATATTAAAAACATGGAAGAAAACCAGATTATCTCCCAGTAAATGAGAGTTTATATAGAATGTACAGTTCTGTATCCTCTCTCTCTGAATGGGTTTATTATAATCTCAGTATAACGGTAATGGATCATTTTGAAGTTGGAAGGATAGTTCAGTCTGGTATGGCTACACTAATTAGGGAACCTATTAGATTTTGCTTGTGACACTTGAGAGAAACAGGAAATACCAAGATTGTCAGTGGATACATTTGTGGGATAAATAGCTCAAATAATCTAACATTTAACTGTTCTAAAATTGAATTGCTATTCATTTTTCACAAAGGAACTTTAGAAGCTCTTTTTTTTGTGGGGAAACTGGTCTTATGTGATTCTCTGTATATACAATTTGCGGTTTCGCTTTACATAACTCATTTGTAATTGTATATTAAGTCTAATAGGAGTGTCTTAACATTAGAATTTCCTAGCAGATGGTGGATTTTTGGAAGAATACTACCTGTTTTGTATATAGCAGTGTGCAGGTGGAATACTAATTTAGCGTTTTAACTTAATTTATAAATAATAAAAGTTATTACTTATTAACTAGTATTTTTTTTCCCCCAGTTTCTCTTCAGCAACGGGTAGCAGAACTGGAAAAAATTAACGCAGAATTTTCACGTGCACAACAGCAGCTTGAGCAAGAATTTAATCAAAAGAGAGCAAAATTTAAGGAGTTATATTTGGCTAAAGAGGGTAAGTTCATAAGTTTCCCACCAACTTCAATGCAAAAACTGCCTTAAAGTGTTGCGTTTCTTGGTAGTGGTGTTAATTTTATCGTGCAGTAAACCTTGATTTTATTTGTACTTGCATAATAAAAGAATACTGTTTAAAGGCTAGAGTTAAGATTGGGATTGAAAAACAAGTTGAAAAATGCCTTATTCAGATTTTTCCTTGTTTTTTGTTCTTACTGTTGATATTTAGGTTACATAGCCCTGAGATAAGAGACTATTAGTACTCTTAACACTTGAGATACAGTCATGGGCAAACTAGGATTGTTGGCATTCTAATAACAGCTTTCACTGTGTTATCTTTAATTCTACGAAATGTCAGTTTTATACAACAAATGTTCAGTTATTTACCAATAAATACTTGTTTAATACCTACTATGAGGCAGACATTGTACCTATGTGTTAGGTATACAGAAGGAGCAAAATTCGTGTTGTTCTTTAACTTAGTTGAACTCGTTGAGGAAAACAGATGTTGAGTAATTGTGTGATGAGTTGTTAAAATGGAAACTGTCGGCCCATAGCATTGGCTCACACATGCAATCCCAGCACTTTGAAAGGCCCAGGTAGGGCCAGGCGCAGTGGCTTACACCTGTAATCCCAGCACTTTGGAGGCTCAGGTGGACAGATCACAAGATCAGGAGTTCGAGACCAACCTGGCCAACATGCTGAAATCCCACCTCTACTAAAAATTCTGGTAGATAATACATGGTAGATAATACATTTTGCACAGTATCAAAAATTAGCTGGGTGTGGTGGCATACACCTGTAGTCCCAGCTTATTCTGGAGGCTGAGGCAGAACCTGGGAGGCAGAGGTTGCAGTGAGCCAAGATCGTGCCAGTGCACTCCAGCCTGGTGACAGAGTGATACTTATCTCAAAGAAAAGAAAAGAAAAGAAAAAATCAAAGAAAAGAAAAGAAAATATAGAAATTACTGGAAATGCAGCTCTTTTGAGATATATTGGTCTCATTAAATCATTAATCTCTGGATGAATATTACTGCTAGAAAAAGATAGCTTTTCAGCATCAATTGTATTGCAATAATTTTTTTTAAAGATCTAAATGCCAGGAACTTTTGTTCTCAAGTAGGAAGATAGAAATAGAGTTTTATTAAAGCAATTATTATTCAGTTCTCTTAGCTCTTTCTGAATTATGTTACATTATTCTTTAACAGCAAAATGTTTTTATTCTACTGGCTAACAACTGAACTAGGTCTTCCTTCAATTTTGTTGAAAGAAGTATTAGAGGTTGGGCGAAGTGGCTCATGCCTGTAATCCTAGCACTTTGGGAGGCCAGGGTGGACGGATCATGAGGTCTGGAGATTGAGACCATCCTAGCCAACATGGTGAAACCCCATCTCTACTAAAAATACAATAAAATTAGCTGGGCATGGTGGTGCACGCCTGTAGTCTCAGTTACTTGGGAGGCTGAGACAGAGATTGCTGTGAGCCGAGATTGTGCCACTGCACTACAGCCTGGGTGACCATGCGAGACTCCATCTCAAAAAAAAAAAGGAGAGATATTGGATCCACCTGACTTGCCAGAAGATTTGTTACATAGTGACTAGTCATTCACTCTTTAATTATTGACACTAATTTTAATTATCCCTCTGTTATAATACCTAGATTTGTTTTCTTTTTTGAGCCAGAGTCTGGCTTTTTCACTCAGGCTGGAGTGCAGTGGCACAATCTTTGCTCACCGCAACCTCCGCCTCCCGGGTTCAAGCGATTCTTCTGCCTCAGCCTCTTGAGTAACTGGGATTATAGGTGTGTGCCACCACACCTGGCTAATTTTGTGTGTGTGTGTGTGTGTGTGTGTGTGTGTGTGTGTGTGTGTATTTTTAGTAGAGATGGGGTTTAACCATGCTGGCCAGGTTGGTCTTGAAGTCCTAACCTCCACCCGTCTCGGCCTTTCACAGTGCTAGGATTACAGGTATGAGCCACCGTGCCTGGCCTTGTAGAGGATTTTTTAATACAACAGGGCAATGAACCATAGTAAAATACTGTAGAGTGGAAGGTTCTTAGGCCTTGCAGAATTTAGCCCTGGCTTGGAAAGTATTACTGACTGGTATGGAATGAGGTTCCATTTTCTCATGGCTTTCAGGAGGGCTGCTTTTTATTTTCTTCCTTTATAGGCTGGTAAGGGGATGGGAAAGGTTGATGTTCGTGTTTAGGCATAGTGGCACTCTGCAAGAAACTGTGGAGATTGGGGTAAATGAGATATATGGCTTCTATTCCTAAGAAAGTATGTCTACTGTGGTAGACAGTACATTTTGCACAGTATCATTTCAACATGTGTTAAGTGTCATAAGAAGTAAGTCTTGTCTGGGCTGGGCACAGTGACTCACACTGTAATCCTAGCACTTTGGGAGGGATGAGGTGGGCGGATCACCTGAGGTCAGGAGTTAGAGACCCAGCCTGGCCAACATGGTGAAACCCTATCTCTACTAAAAATACAAAAAAATTAGCTCGGCATGGTGGTGCATGCCTATAGTCCCAGCTACTTGGGAGGCTGAGGCAGGAGAATTGCTTGAACCCAGGAGGCAGAGGTTGCAGTGAGCTGAGATTGCCCCACTGCACTTCAGCCTTGGCGACAGAGCGAGACTGTCTCAAATAAGTTCTCTCTGGTTATTTAGTATGCTCACAGGAATTTATCTTCTCCCTTTAAAAATTTGTTTATGCTTTTGAATATCAAGCTCCACCGTCCACTTTGCAATGGTATATTGTCAAGATGACCTGTAATACATTTGATGTATATATAAAAGATTGTGGTAGTGTTTTCTCTGATGATTAGTTGAAACCCAGTATGATGCTGGCTAATGATACCCGTTTTCTCCTTTACCTCTTATACCAAAACCTCTGTAGCTTGTTTATCCTGTCTGCAGTTAATTGAGATCAATTGTTTCTAAACCCTGTTTGTTTTGCCTTTTTTCTTTCTTCTCAAATACAGCTGTTAGAGTTTGTTTTCTTAATTTTCTTTGAAATTATAAAATTGACTTTCCCTGCAAATTCTGAAGAAATGAAAATGACCAAGAACTTCCCATTTCTGAAATGCATTATCAACTGCAGTTTTAGATCTGTGAATTAAAAAACTTGTAACATGAGTTGGTTCAAAAAAACGTGCTCGGTTAAGATTGCACTGATGACATCTAGACCCAATAAATAATCTTGTTGTATACTATTGTACCTTGACTGTCGAAAGTGTTCAATTAACTTAGCTCGCCATAGTGAACGGTTAGGGTAAATTTTTACAAAAGTTCAAAATAAATACTGTGATCTCTTTTGAGAGTTTTTGGTGGCATTCCTAAAGAAAATACATAGTATAATAAAAGTTCAATGCTGATTACTTAGTTTTTGTCTTGGCTGTGAGCCTATATCATAACAACAATTAAATGTGGCCGGGCGCGGTGGCTCAAGCCTGTAATCCCAGCACTTTGGGAGGCCGAGGCGGGTGGATCACGAGGTCAAGAGATCGAGACCATCCTGGTCAACAAGGTGAAACCCCATCTCTACTAAAAATACAAAAATTAGCTGGGCATGGTGGCGCACGCCTGTAGTCCCAGCTACTCGGGAGGCTGAGGCAGGAGAATTGCCTGAACCCAGGAGGCGGAGGTTGCGGTGAGCCAAGATCGCGCCATTGCACTGCAGCCTGGGTAACAAGAGCGAAACTCCGTCTCAAAAAAAAAAAAAAAAAAAAAACCACACAAAAAAATCAAAACAACAAACAATTAAATGTGAAGATTTCCCCTGAGACAGAGGCTTATATTGTAGCTACTGTGAAGTCTAAATCTAGTCTTTAATGATTGCCACAGGTGTTGACAGTATAAACCAGGATTTTGATGTGCACAGCAGTCTTTGTTTTATCTTTTAGAAAACCCAGATCAAGGTAACCCTGAAAGTCTAAACATTGTTTTTTCAAAACCCCAATAGGTTCAGCTTTTGCTTTAGTGTTGTAATAGTTGTGTTTGCACTTGTTTCGAGAATAGCTGGAATATAAATGCAAACAGTAATGAGAAATGCTAATAAAAGAGATTATTACCTACCTTTTTCACTTCTTTTATTGCCTGTTCTTTTCTTAGTATTCATTCTTTTTTTTTTTTTTTTTTTGAGAAGGAGTCTTGCTTTGTCGCCCAGGCTGGAATGCAGTGGCACCATCTCGACTCACTGCAACTCTGCTTCCCAGGTTTAAGCAATTCTCCTGCCTCAGCCTCTTGAGAGCTGGGACTACAGGCATGTGCCACCACACCCAGCTAATTTTTATAGTTGAGATGGGGTTTCACCAGGTTGGCTAGGCTGGTGTTAGGACCCATTCTTTTCCAAGATGACTTAAACTGGGAATGTTATAAATATTTCTGAAAGTTTTGTTGCATTTCTTTTGAACTTGAAATATTTTTTGATTAAGCTTTCCTAAACTTCAGAACTTGGCACTACAGCAGTGTTTGTTTTGTGCTTTGGAAATCCGAATAAAAGGCCATATAGTTAGTTCTCAATTGGATGAAAAATAGTAGAAATAGAGCTCATAGCTAATCACCAGAAGACATTGAAATTTTCTAGTGGTATTCAAAAGGTCTTTATATATAGTTATAATTTATATAAAGCTGTTATGCTAACTGGTCAGAACTTCAATAGTGAAAAGCTAGATTTAGAAAGCTATCTGTAGTTCCAGTGCCATAAACTTGCCCTTAGATATGGAAATGAAAAGAGTAAATAAAATTAACAATTAAAACCCATTAGTAATATTGTAAACAAAAGATTAGAAATTAAAGTAGTGTTTGTTAATTATTTGTTTGACCAGCAGAGAAGACACAGAGGTTTTAGTAAATTAGAAAACAGTACTGAGTTCTCCCTCCTAGTGAGACAAAGAGGGAAATATGAAAGAACATAACAAAGACATAGAGGATGAATTGAGAGCCTTCAACATACATCTGAAAAGAGTTGCAGGGGAAGAGAATGGAAGGAATAGTAAAGA